CTTAATCTCAATCTTTGTTTTTCTTTTTCTAATAAAAGACAGTAGTTCTGGCAAGTGGCTCCTGACTCGGCGCATGTTCTTGGTGGATGCAGTGAGTGGACGAGAAAACGACTTAGGAGGTCATCCACGAGTCGTTCGCGTTGCTACCCAAGTGTCAGTGAGGTAAACAAATGTCTAAGGCATTACATTAGCATAGGTGTACTTGGGAACGTATTGAAGTGAAAATGGTTGCTATTAAATACGAGGTGAAAACAATCAGAACAGCTGAATTTGGTTAACAAATGTAGGTGTTTGTTTTTTTTAATTAAATACTTTTATCGGAGTTTCTTACATCTCATCACAATCCATACATTCATCTAGTGTGTCAAGCACATTTGCACATATGCCACCATCATCATTTTCAAAGCATTCTTTTCCCACTTGAGTCCCTGATATCAGCTCCCCATTTCTCCCCTGTCCCTGCCTGCCCTCCCTCACGAACCCTTGATAAGTTATAGATTATTATTTTCATATCTTACATCCTCCTGCGTTGCCTCTCACCCACTTTTCTGTTGTTCATCCCCCTGGGAAGGGGTTCTAGTGTGCAAATGTAGGTTTTTAGAGATTGGTTTTGTAGAGTGATGTACCTTTAGAGTGTAAGAGCCAAAGGCAGAGTTAGACAAGAGTATTTTGAGGCGACCCACCTAACCCTGCACAAGTAGGACTGGGTTGAGGGTGCTGGGCAAGTGAACAAGAGCCCGTGGGTTGAAATGGTACTTTAGAGGGAGTGCTTCTGGGGGTTGTGATAGCAGAATTGCCTTCTCCTTGTAGCCTTTAAAGTGGGCATGTTGGTTCTGCATTAGGCTGCGACCCTCAAATTCAATAGTTAGAAACCACAAGCCGTTCCTAGGAAGAAAGATGGGGCTTTCTACTCTTGTAAGCAGTTACAGTCTCAGAAACTCACAGGGGCAGTTCTACCTGTCCTGTAGGGTCGCTTAGAGTTGGCATCGACTAGATGGCAGGGAATTTGGGTTTTTGGGTTCTGGATTGATCAAAATTCTATGATCAATACTTCCCTCTTTCTAAGAAAATACTTTTAACTATGAGCATCCCTAGCGGTAGATTCTTGTCTCTAAAGCTGTCGACTGCCCTGCCTACTCCTTGTGATGTAGTTTGCGTGAGTTTGGCACTCTGAAACACTACAGTCGACATTTTCCCCATTTCAGTATTTCATCTTGACTCTCATAACAAACTCAGAAGGTAAACTGCTGAAGCTTTGTCTTGGGTCTTACTGAAATCCTGCATATTGTGTTTGCAGGATTTCCTCAAACTGCCAATCCCTGGCAAGAAAACAAAAAACCTATCAGGCCTAAATTGATCTTAGTGAAGCCAGGCTGGCTTCTAGCAATTGACACGTTCCATTACGAGTTCACAAGCTGCACAGTCCTAACGCAGCAACATGTAGCCTACTCGTGCCAGACACACCACCAGACCTGACACGCGTGATTAAGTATTCAGCTTTCACCTTTTAAAACCAGGATTTATCTGCCTTTCTCTAGGCTTCCTGTAGCTCTTCTTGGAGAATCCCTCTAAGATGGCTCATGGTGCTTCAGTCATTTGGTTTATAAACTTCATAGCACCTGGATTGAGGAGAAACATTTCTAATTTGTTTCATTGGGCAGGTTTTAATATTAAAGTTTTGACCACTTATATGTTCTATAATGTTACAACTACCTTATTTTATCTTTATTTTATTATTAGCTGGTTGGTTCAGAGATCAATAGCATTGTAGTAAGTTAAAAAGGAATGATAATATAATTATGCTTGCAGCCCTAGATGCCTTTATACCTAAACAAGTGTTTGTTTGTTTATTTTTAGCATCCGCCTTGTTCCCAACACAAAAAGTGGAAACATCTACCCCCCCTTAATTACCATTGCCTACAGTGACATTGATATCAAAGACCCCAGCCTCCAGTCTGTGAAGGTAAGCTCTTTACTGCTTTAGGATGTGTGAGGACAGTACAGATGCAGTTTAAATCATGGTCAAAAGACAGTGGTTTTCCAAGTTTCAAATAAACCCTGCTGTATATATATTCATCTTAACTGGTTTTTCTAGCAATAGTAAGATTTTCAGTATAAAACAGCATGAATGAAGTTTTTTAGTAAGCAGTGTCCCCAGCAGTCAGGCGCCCTATTGGGGTGTACTTGTGATCGGGTGCATCTGCTATTGTCCTGTGGCCGCCTTCTGGTCAGACTAGGTCTCCTCGCCTGAATTACAGCTTTACTTCTTCTTACCACTCCATAGCCCACTTGATGGGAAGAAAACCCAAAACCAAAGAGAAGGCAGTGGAACAAAGCAGAGCTACACAGGCTCAATTCTTCTTCTCAACCTCAACAGTCAGAGAAAGCACCCCTGCTTTCAAGGGGAATCGTCAGAGAAGGGGAGAGAGAAAAGCCAGGAGTTAAACTCTGTGTGTTTTCCTCCTAGGGGTTGAGAAGATATTCCTGTTCCTCTATAGAAACATGAGTAGCGAGGGACAAACATTCCTCACTCCCAAGGCTCATTATTAGCGTTTAATTTCTACTATTTTACTTTTTGAAATTTTGATGTGATTGGTCCTTCAGCTAGTGCTTTTAGCCTCCCTATTATACTTATAGTTGGACTCATTTCCTATCAGATGCAGGCCTTAATTAAGCAAAAAGTAAAAGCACAATACAAGTTTGAAAGATTTCCCTTTTCCCTTGTATTACCTAATCTAATGTTAAAATTAGTTTCCGCTTTGTATATGCTGTAAGAAGAGGGGAAAAACATGCTTAGTAATAAAGCCTGGTTAACAATGTCCTGGAGTCATCATGGGTAATGAAGAATATGTGAGTGTGTATATTTTTGCATGTGGAGGTGTGTAGGGGCTTCAAATAAATTACAGCCACTATAATGTCTCGATAATTTCAAAGAATCTTTATTCGGTTGTAACCGGACTGCTAGAATCTAAAAGCCGTTTTTTGATTTGCAGTCCTGAGTGCACAGTTCAGTTCATCTTTAAAGGCAAAAACTCTTATCATTTGTCTAGGTCTTCAGCAAGTGTGAACAGAAGCAGAAAGCAAAATTAATGTTATTCTTTAGAGTTAGTGAGCATTACAGACTACAGCATTGATTATAACATCCTGGTTGATAAAATAAATATAGTAATATCCTGGTTACAATATCAAAAGGAAAAATATTATTAATTACAATGCTCTGATCTCGAGAAAATGAGCATACATTCTAAAATTGATCACTAAAAAAAAAAAAAATCACTAGTGGGACTTTCCGAGATGGGAGGGGGAAGGAGGCGGGTCATTCAGCAATCAACAAGATGGTGTTACAGTGGCTAGTGCTAGTCTGTTTCCAGTAAGTTTTAAAGATGCCACATTTTTATACAAATAGCAGGTGCCTTCTACAGTACATTTCTTTGTCAGCTACCAAGTCCCTCAGGAAGTGTCTTTGTAAGTGCTGCTATGCCAATTTTTTATCTTACATGTTGCTGTGGGGAAAAAAAATGAGCTTCGTGTGTTTTAAAAGTCCCAGAGAGGAGTTGACAGACACACATAGAAGACATATGTTATTTTTGTAAAAATACTGTGTATGTAATAAAACGTTTGCTGTTTCAGTATTCCTCACATTTCCAGTTCATTGACATTAATTTTGTTCATCATGTTGTTTAACCATCACTTTCATCTCTGCCCAAATTTTACCATCAAGAGTATATATATTTTAATATAAAACACTGCAGGGTTTTTCCTTAAATATTATGGTGCAACACTAACCCTTGATACACCTTGAAATACGTAAAAAAGGAGTTAAGAGAATCATGAAACTTTGCTGTCAAGACCTACCTCAAATTTATTCTAAATGTAAAACTACAGCTACTTCATTTCTTATTAATGTCGCATGACAGCTGTTGCAAAAAGTCTACCTTAGTGTTAAGTATCCAACACTTTCCTGATCTCTAATGAACAGCGAATTAATGTGCAGTATGGCTGGTGGTTTCAGACTGCTGACTCTGGTTAGCAGTCTAATACATAACCCACTCAGCCACCAGGGTGCTCCACACCTTTCCTGAATTTGTTATTTTCTGTTTTATTGAATTTAGCTGCGATTTGGGGGATGAGATGATACCTTGTTGCTACTTGGATTTGCTGGACTCTCTACCTGTCCTTTAGGACTATTATGAGCCAGCATAGACAATGTGTTTGGTGTGGTTTTTTTGTTTTTTTTTAATGACTAAAGACGCTGGCTGGTGGTGCAGTGGTTACGCATTTACTACTAACCACAAGGTCAGCAGTTTGAAACCACCAGATGGTGCTCCATAGGAGAAAGATGAGGCTTTCAACTCCTATAAAGAGTTGCAGTCTCAGAAACCCACAGGGCCAGTTGTACCCTGTCCTATAGGGTCAATATGAATCAGATCATAAGTAAAAGCTTTTAAAAAATTGAATATACTTAGTTTGGTTTGAATTGCCATTAATGAACCTAACCTAGCCTCTGATGAACCCCTTTCTTTAATGGTTGCTCAAGGGAGATATTTTAAACTTTGTGGCAGATTCCCTAACAAATAACCCATTTTATATATACCATATATGCTTGTGTATAAGCCGAGTCTTTCAGCACATTTTTTAATGCAGTTTTTGTGGTAAAATTAGGTGCCTCAGCTGATATTCGGGTCGGCTTATGCTCGGGTATATATGGTAAGTGAAGGTTAGTTCTAGTAATATCGGTAGTTTAAAAATACGGCATTTAAGGTACAAGCCAACGACAACTGTATTTTTATAATGAGAATATTTGCGTAATTTCAGTATGACCAATTTGCTCTCTCTTAACTACCAGATTTCGTTCTCAGTCAACTATGAAATGAATCAAGGAGGGGCACACGTCCAGACAGATGTGAGTTTATTTTAACACCTTGAAATATTTATAGTATGCCTAGGAGCCTTGCTGGTGTAGTGGTTACCCTTGGGTCTGTGATCTGCGTGTTCAGTAGTGTGAAAATACCAGCAACTCCTGACAGGCCTCGTTACTCTTGGAAACAGATGCAGTCTCAGAAACCCACAGGGCGTCACTGTGAGGCAGCATTGACTCAGTGTCAGTGAGTTTGGTTTGGTTTTTAATAAATTATAAACCAAAAAACAAATAGAAAAGTTTCAAAATAGTATAGCATATGTACTCATCCAATTTCCCCTATATTAACTAACATTTTACATTATCCATAGTACAATGATCAGAATCCAGAAATTAATATTGATGCAGTCTTCTTGACTTAACTGTGTACCCCTTGAATTTTACCAGTTCCTCCAATGTCATAATTTTTCTCTTTAAGGATCCAAGCCAGGAGTCCAGGCTTCCACATTGCTTTCGCTGTTCTGTCTTCTTAGTCTCCTCTGATCTGCAACAGTTTCATCGTTTTTCTCTTCTTTTTTTACCCCATGACCAAAACACTTTTGAAGAACAGCCGCTAATTACAGTGGACTCTTGAGCAAAGGCGGGTTTGCACTGCAGGATGGTGTAGGCACTAAGCACGGGCTTTCTTCCCATGTTGCTACCGTGCTGAGCCAAGTGTTACCAGTAACCACTTAAAACGCGAGCTGAAACTAATCATCTTCAAGTTAACACAGCGGTTCTCAACCTATGGGTTGCGACCCCTTTGGGGGTCGAAGGACCCTTTCACAGGGTCGGCCGATTCATAACAGTAGCAAAATTACAGTGATGAAGTAGCAACGAAAATATTTTTATAGTTGGGGGTCACCACGACATGAACTGTATTAAAGGGTCGTGTCATTAGGAAAGTTGAGAAGCACCGAGTTAGCAGTTTGTCTCCCCAGTGAGGGGGTGTCGAAGGTTGAGGGGCTGGCAGTTACTGCAGAGAAGAATAAGTTGATGTCTACAGCACTTGAGCTTACCACAGTAGCAGCGGGAGAAACGATCTTAGGTTTAACTTGTGTTGTTCAAGGGTCCACTGTACTTTGTAGAATGGCCCTCAGTTTGGGTTTGCCTGCTGTTTTCCCAGGCTTAGACTGAGTTTGTGTAGTGTTGGCAAAGGTACCACAGAATGATGCTGTGCCTTCCAAGTGCAGCACATCAGGCCCACCCGCATGTTAGTGTGTCTCATTACTGGTTGTGCCGACTCTCATTGCGGATGCCACAGAGCTTGCCTTCATCCTCGTGCCCTCCAGTTTTAGCATCCGTTGATTGTTGGCTATAGAAAGTGCCACTGTGATATTTGCTTGATTGAGGTTATTTCTGTCATTCCTTGTGTATTTATTCATTGGTATTGTAAGGAGGAGCTGTCCCTTCTTCCCTACTTATGTGTCTGTTCCTTACTTCTTTAAATCTATGCACTCAGGGGTATTTATTTTATTCTAGTGATTATAATCTGCTACTATCTTTTTTTTAACCTTCATATTTTTCCAGACTTTTAGCTATTGAGAATTCTTTCATCATGACCCGTTTGTCCTTTCCCCCCCTCCTCATTTTGTGAGCATTTTCTTACTTTCTATTTACAGTTGTTTTAAACAGTTGAGAGAAGTTGTATAACTCCTAAAATGTTCTTATTTCCTTATTTTTTAGATTGCTTTGGGTGTGTTGGGGGGCCTGGCTGTTCTCTTGTCTCTCTTGAAGACAGCAGGATGGAAGAGGCGTATTGGAAGCCCCATGGTTGACTTACAGGTGTGATCTCAGAGGAGTTTCTAAACGATATTTTTATCTTGTCACTTCTCATAGGAGACAGCTGGAGGCCTTGAGTTTCTGTGGGGCGTAGGACGAGGATGTGTGTACATACTCATTTCCCTTCCTCACTGCTCTATCACAATCTCCACTTCGGGCAGTGCGGTTCCTAGTTCATCACAGCCTTGCCAGTGCTTGCTCTCTCTGGCCTTCCGTTTTTGTCAGTTTGATGATATAAAGTAGTATTTTATTGTAAGCTGCTTGTTTATATCCCTTGACCATTTTTCTCTATTTGATTTTCAGTTTTTGTAGTTTAACGGAGCTTTTTGTATATTCTAAATATGAGTCCTTTTGTAGCTTTTGATGTTGAAATACTGTTTCCAAATTTATGACCATCTTTTTTATAAAATCAAAGTGATGCTTTGTTTAACAGAATTTTAATATTGTCACACCTGAATATGTTTTTATGGTATGTAATTTCAGGAAAGATTTTTTTGGTCTTAAGATCACAAAAATACTCTATGAACTTTAGTTTTCCTTCTTTAATCTTTTTGTGCATGTATGTGTATATATATATATGTACATATTTATTATTCTAATTTTTACATTTACTATGTACTGAAGCTTTCTATTACCACTAATCTTTATAGTCTCAGAAACTCAGAGGGACAGTTATACCCTTTCCTATTATAAGATTATATGATTATAATGATTAATTATATGATTATATTATTATTATTATATGAGTCAGAATCGACCTGGCCTAAAGCCTATGTGTTAAGGAGTCAAATGTGTATAGGGTTGGGACTGGAGGGAGAAGGGCAGGTGGGGCTTGGTTTCCTGTTTGGGATAATTAAGAAGAGCTTTCCAGGGAGGCAGACTTTAAACTGGGATATCTATTTATTCACAACCAATCACTGAAGACCTGTGTACGTGCCTGGCACTATTTTAGGCTCAGGTGGTAGTGAGCAAAGACAGACTTGATTTCTGCCATCAGCTCACAATCATTCACCAGAGGCACAGGAAAATGTTTGATAAGACAATTCCCTTTTCCTAAAATATTGAAGATGAAATTGTGGAATAGTTAAGCTTTGGATAAATGGAAGTGACCTATGAGGTTAGAAAGTTAAGTTTGGTCCGTATACTAAGGGACCTTGTGGGTAAAAATGTATATTATGTAGTTGGTGAGGAGCCAGTTAGACATTCCAAGAGAGTAGTGTAACCCTTAGGGCGCTAACTCTGACGATAGCATGGAGGATAAATTAGGGTGGGGGTTTCCAAATTAGGGGAAAATCAGGAAGCAGTTCTAATGGTCATAAGGGTACAGGATAAAACAGGGCGTAAGACCACAAGGTAAGGATCAGAAATATAGATAGGGGGTGCATTGATCTGATTTTATAAGAGGATGCTGCATGGATACATGAAATAAGATTTTAAGCCTGAGAAGTTCAATGGATGGTATGTAGTTTAAAATGGTGTAAGTATAAATAAACTGAGCCTTAAGTTTAACAGGTTACCTTTTTTTTTT